CAGGAAAGTCTGTGAGACTCGTATCTCCAATTAACCACCAGAAAACTGGAAGTGGTGCTGTGGCTTAAGTGGTAGAGCACTAGCCTTGAGCTGAAGAGCTCAGGGACAGCACTGAAGCTCAGAGTTCAAGCCCCACAACTGACCAAAAAAAAAAAAAAATGTAAGTATTTTTTTTTAGGGAAAATAGCTCTTTTTTTATTGCTGCTATAAAGGTGATACACAGAGGGGCTACAGTTACTTAAGTCAGGTAAATAGGACATTTCTTTTTAGGCAATGTCACCACTTCCCTCACTCTTTTCCAGTTTTTACCTCCTTTTCCTACCCACAAGTTGTATAGTTCATTTTCAGCATAGTATCTAGTGAGTACCACTGCTGTATTTGTTCACCCTTTGTCTCTCTCTTTCTGTACCCTTCTTTATCCTCTGCAAATAGTTCAAGTAACATCATACCAATGAGTCTTATTATTGCTTTCCCTAAGTTACTATTGCTTTATAACAAGTATGTAATTATGTGTACAGAATTACTATAAACACATACTAAATGTAACTCATGCTAATAGCTACTAAAAGTTACCCTGTTTCAGCTAATGAAATAATCTCCATGAGTATAATGAATATTTATATGACATAGTTTTATTATTAGCTTGTGCTGTGAATAGGGTTTTATGATTTTTTTTTTACCGCATGAAGATTTAATTAGAGATTCTCTTTGTTAGGCTTAATTTAGTATTTTTTTCTCTCTGATATTTTCACCTTTACTTGATGGAAGAATTGTAATTTTGTGACCCCACCCACAATTAGTTAGGCACGGGCCTAGCTTGCATGTACAATTGCTGTTGTTTCAGAAAGTAAATGTGATTACATGGAAAACATTAATAGGGCTGGGGGCTCAAAAATTGTTATCTTTAATCTTAACTTTCTCATTTATTATTTACATAACGTTAAACAAGTTATTTAACTGGTGGGAGTCTTAGTTTTATTAAGATGAGAACAAAAGTAAATATAATAATGTGTAATGTAACACCAAGCAAGACAGTAAGTGGTCAGACTCCACACTTATCACAAGTAGATTGAATCATCTTTTTGCAATTTTTACTCTCTTTGGTTTTGCCATTAATGTTTTCTATTTTGGAGAAGTAATGCTAACCCAAACTTCTCTTACCCATCTCTCCATTTACCTATAAAATACTCTTCAAGACACAGCAAAGCTATTCACCAATAGTGTAGTTTAAATATAAGCCAACAATATTCATAGAATCTTATTGGTGGTCACAGAATTCACCGTATTCTCAATTTCTGATATCCTGTAGAATGATACAAGTAAGTTTATTTCAGCCAAATTTACTAAATAGATTCCACATATGTTCAATTGCTTGCTAATATTCCATTTTTACTCCTATATTACATTAATGTTTCATTACATAGAATTGTTTCAATAGATCAAGGGAATGAAACAGGAGTAGAAATAATATATACTGTAAAATTTACATTATCTTTGAAGATTAAGACCCGAAAGTGTTAAATAAAGAAAAAAAACCTGAATCCACATGCATTGAAATAAATAAATTTAAGTGTGACAAATTTATATAAGTACCTTAAAATTAAATGTCAAAATAAGAAATGTGATGATCAAACACTGAAATGTGAATCTATTAAACTATTTGTTTATTTCTCAGAATGCTATCTTGAAAGTTTACCAGAAATTAGCAAGAAGGCTTTCAGTTTTTATTGTTATCAAATAATATGGACACTTTCATGTATCTTTTACTTAGAACAAATTTTAAAAGTTGTTCTGTGCTTCATCAAATGAATATTTTTTCACTTAAAGGTAGATATAAATAAATATTTCAATGGTATCATTAAAATCGTTGCTTCCCCTTAGTAAACAAATAATGACTGTGAAGAAAGCAAACTATTAATAATATTTTTATAAATATCATTATTATGGCAGGATATTACTGTCACAAATAAGGAAGAACAAGTTTTAAGTACATAGGCATGCAAAGCTAATTTACCTTAGAGTTTGATAAAACAGAGAATTCATTATGTATGCCACTTAAGAATAAATTGTGGGGTTGGGAAGGTAACTCAGTGGCAGAGTACTTACCTTGCATTCATGAAGCCTTGGGTTCGATTCCTCACCACATATGCCAAAAAAGCTGGAAGTGGCGCTGTGGCTCAAGTGGTAGAGTGCTAGCCTTGAGCTGAAGAGCTGAGGAACAGTGCCCAGGCCCAGAGTTCAGGCCCCACAACCGACAAAAGAAAAAAAAAGAATAAATTGTGTAGCTTATTATGTTCATTAATTACTGAAAACCCATTCAGTTGAAGAAGAAATTTTTATACTAATAAAGTTTGTTTTTGAGTCTTGGTATAGACTAGAAGGTCTATGCAGGCACCCAATGTAATATAGCTACATTGTGTATAGCAAATCAGATTAACCCGGTACCTAAATAACTTTCCACACATACATTTATTCCCAGGAAATTATATGCTTTCTAACCATTGAGTATTGATAAAAGTAATTTAACCTTTCATCTCCAACTTACTAACTATAACATGAAGAAATGAAATCTTGTACAAAGCTGCTCTTGATTTTCTCCTTACACTTAAGAGCAATAGGTGATGATGAAATGTTGCTCTCATGGATTTTTTATAAAATATGAAATTAATTTTAATGCAAAGAATGTCAATAAAATCTATCCTATGATAGCACTTTAAAGTAATAGTCGAGGCCTATCACTTTGGAGGCTAAATGTTGAGGAGAAGGATACCCCCCCTCCAAAGATCCGTATGAGACAAATGTTGTGACTGAAATTTTGATGCTGCAACATCACCTCTTGATGATTCTCCTCAATTGTTAAAGACACAAACCAATGGCTTATTTCTAGGTATAAATTTAATTTAGTACAAATGCAGAAGGCAAATGCCAGGATACTCAGAAGCAAATTAGCCAGGAAGTAGATTATTACTTTTTTGCTACTGTATCCTAAGTCATACAAAGTTTCAGGTTTTGTTTTTTTCAGACAAGGAATGACTACATAGTCCACACTTGCCTCAAATTCAGGATCTTCCTGCCTCAGCCTTTCAGGTGATAGGATTACAGGTGTATTCCACTATGGCTAGCTTGAGTTCCAGCCTTTTAGTCAGGCTAATTTCATATTTGTTGGCTTGTATTAATGCCTTCAGTGAAAAATCTTGTTATAAGTTTAGAGATCATCTTCAAACTGAATACTTAGAACGATGAGTGTCAAATTATTACAAAGCCTAATCACTTGTCACTAGGCTTGAATTTTGAATTTTCTCTTTTACAAGGAATTAAAAGGGAAGAAGAGCATTGAACTATCTTTCTTGGAGCAAATATGAATAGTTTGATGCAATTTTCTCCAAAATTTCTTTTTTTTTTTTTTTGTCAGTCATGGGACCTGAGCTCTGGGCCTGGGCGCTGTCCCTTAGTGCTTCAGCTCAAGGCTAGCGCTCTACCACTTGAGCCACCGCTCCACTTCTGGCTTTTTCTGCTTATGTGGTGCTGAGGAATGGAACCCAGGGCCTCATGCATGCAAGGCAAGCACTCTACCACTGAGCCACCTTCCAAGCCCTCTCCAAAATTTCTATGGATATGAAATTTTGAATTTTAATCTTTTGTTGTTGTTGTTTCTTAAAATAATGTGTTAAGGCCGGACACTGGGGGCTGAAGCCTGTAATCCTAGCTAGTAAGGAGGCTGAGATCTGAGGAACACAGTTCAAAGCCAGCCCAGACAGGAAAGTCCATGAGACTCTTATCACCAATAAAACGCCAGAAAACCGGAAGTGGCACTGTGGCTCACATGGTAGATTCCTTGAGCTGAAGAGCTAAGGGACAGTGCCTGGGCCCAGAGGTCAAGCCCCATGACCTACAATAATAATAATAACAATAATAATGTGATAGGTTGAGTGAATGATTGGTGCCTGTTTCTAAATGTCTATTGTATTATCTGCATGAATATGAAGTTTGGAAATCACTGTACTATTTTTTAGAGGCCAAAGAGAATATTTTAGTAAGCAGTGAACACTCAGCCTGGAGTACACTGTTGGTGTTCAGTAAGTCTTAGTTGAATAAACAATAGAATGAGTTCATTACTATTACAAAAAATTAAAGGCTGGTTTGACAGTCTTAACAGAGAAAATGAGGACTTGTTCTTTTGTGGATATTTTCTATTTGTGCTATCTTTTAGGAACTCTTAAGAGATATTTGTGTCTCATTACTATTGTCAAAATATAAGGATATTGTTGTATAATGGAATGCCTTCCTTTAACTTCTCATGATGTATTAACATATGCATCTTTGTTGAGGGAGAAAACTAGGTTTCCCATATACATATTGATTTCTTCTTACAACACTAAAATACTTTTCAAAAAATCCTGAAACTACTTAATATGTCCAGGATTATGTGATTACGGATAGATTTTAATCTCGTACAATTTCTGAGTTAAAGTAACAGGTAGGATTTGCCTAATAGTAAGACACTGTTAAAGCTACAAATGTAGTTAGGGTTAGGGATGTAGCTCATTAGTAGAGTGCCTGTCTAGCATGCAAACATATTTGTATATATATGCATATATGAGTATGTGCAACCAAACATTTAGAAGAACACCATTATTTCCTTCTAATGGAAGCATTCTCATCCTCTCTCATTTTTTCTCCTCCTCCTTCCCTCTTCTCCTCCCCCTCTCCTCTAGGATACAAAGGACAAATGAGTTTGTTAGTACATATTGCTGATGGCCATTTGTAACATAGCAACAGGGCTAGATGATTTATCCTTAAGAATTCTGATCCAGTTAACATGAATAATAATTTTCTCATTTCCTCTTATAACTAAATCTCTCCTTTGTGCTTCATTTACAAACTCTTCACATCAAGGCTAACATAAAAGATAAGTTCATAGCCATAATCCCCTCTGGAGAGATCACTCCTTGCAGCATTCCATTAAGGGGTTTTATGTTTTGGACCCATCTTGTGTACAGAAGCTGAATGAAAGCAGTAGTTCATCGGAAGGCAGCACTGTGGACATCGGGGCACCTGCAGAAGAGCAGCCTGTAGTGGAACCTGAAGAAACCCTGGAACCAGAAGCCTGTTTCACTGAAGGTAGAGTTACATTCTTATGTTAATCATTTTTTTAATATTTTGACTTTTAAACTGTTTGCCAGACAAAAGGGGTCATTTAGCTAGAATAAAATATGGTCGGGAAATCTATTTGGTGTATGTCTGTCTAGCAGGTTGACAGATAAAAAACATTTAAAACAGAAATGTGTGCTCAGTTATACCTCACCATCATAAGTGAACATGAGAAAGAAAAACATTTTAACTTAATCAATACTAGTGACTAATTTATAACTTTTAAAGGAAAATGGTGATTTGGCAGTAAGTTGACACCTTCAGCATTAGTCGGATTCTCATTTGCAGGACCTGCCTAATTAAAATTAAATAAATGAAAAGTTTTAATATGACTTTGAAATATTAAATTTATATTAAAATTAAATAAATTTAAATTTTTAAATATGATTTTGAAACACCATTTTACTGTCTTTGGAAGAAACAGGAAATATACCTACATAGCAATTAGTAGAGTTTGTTGTCATATGGACAAGAGGTCTAATACTTGTTTTCATCATAATTAGTATTTCCTATAGCTCCATATCCTTGGGAAATTAAGTTTGGGGAACTATTAATATCTTTACATATTTTTCTATTTTACACTCTTTTTTCATCCTTGCTTTCTTTTTTCTTTCTGTTCTTGAACTTGCAGATTCTAGGAAAGCACTCTACCACTTGAGCCATTTCCCAGTTCCTTTTGTTTTAGCTTACTTTTCAGATAGCCTCATGCTTTTGCTAAGTCAGCCTCAGATTATGATCTTTCTTCCTAGGCCTCCCATATAACTGGGATTTCAGGTGTGAGCCACCACACCCAGCCCTTGTATACTTTTTTAAATAGGCCAAAAGTATCCTCCTTCTTTATTTTTACCTTATATAAATTACACATATCATGTCAATCCTTCTCGAAACTACTTTCATCTGATCATAGTGGATGAATTTCTTATTTTCTTCTTTGGCTATAATAAATATAAAATGGATATAATGAAACTATTCATTTAATTCCTCTAATAACTAATAATGTATTGCCTTATGAAACTCATTCTCTATTACACTATTAGATGTCTCTTCCCTCCTTTTCCTCTATCCCTTCCTTTCATTCTCTTGTTCCTCAGCTCCCTCATTTTTGCTTCCTCCCTGCATTATTCCATTTCTTCCCCTTCCTACTATCTGTTCTTTTGCTTCCAACATAGTTCTCCAAATTGTTCCACATTGTCTTCCGTCTTGCTCCCCCACCACCTGCCCAGCCCCAGCCTTTTCTTTTCTATTTCTTTTTTTCTATTTCTTCTTTTTCTTCTGTTTTATTTAAAACTCATAATGTAAGTTTCTTAAAAACAAGTATACATCTGTTCTGGACCTTTTTGAGAGAGTTAGGTATATCTTCCATGGTGCTTATGTACACAGAGTTACCTATGGCTTTGATTCTGATGTTAGAGTAAATGAACACGTTGTGAGGTAAGCAGTGGCACAGAGATCTGAAAGTTTATTAAAGTGAATTACTTTACAAAATCATATAAGCACTGCTAGATACACCAAAGGATAACCTAGAGGAAAACACCCCTAGCATTTTGGGAAAACATCTATATTATTATTCTCTTACTCTTTTTATTGTAAAGGTGACATACAGAGGAATTACAATAACATAAGTAAGGAAATGAGTACATTTTTTGTCAAACAATGTTACCCCCTCCTTCATTTTCTCCTGCTTTTCCACCCCCCAAGTTGTAATGTTCATTTCCAACATAGTGTCTTGTGAGTATCACTGTTGCATTGGTTTGCACTTGTCCTTTGTCTCACCATTTCTGTGATTCCTCATATCAGATAAACAAATATACAAGACTAAGGGGACTGAAATACAAAACAGTGACAATGGGATAAACCATAGGAAAATGAAAGAAAAAAGAAATAGCTGCCAACAGTACACTAAAAAGAAACTTCGGGGGGAGGGGGGAGAGAGCGGGGTGGATTGGTTGGGGGGGCGAGGGGAGGCTGGGAAGGGATGGGATGGGAAGGGGAAATAAAGGAGGAGGCTACAATGCTGGATAAGAAATGTACTCATTGTCTTGCCCATGTAACCCCTCTGTACAGTATTTTCACAATAAAAAAAAGAAAAAAAAACTTTTTATTTCCATATCTTGGAGTTCATTTTGATTAACATCATTGTGTATGCTCATAAAATCTTCTATTTCCTACTATTAATTTCAGTTTTTAGTCTTTTTCTAGAGTTACTTCAAAAGTGCACAGCAAAAGAGTACAATATGATAATATATAGCACAAAACAAGCTCCTTAAATATTGTTCATAATGTACAAAAATTCTTGCAGTCACATTAGAAGCCAGAGAAAGCAGATACTCTCAGCCAGAGATCCTTTAAATAGCTAAATATCATAACTTCACAGAAGGTTTAGAGCTATCCCAGAAAATTTGAGATGGCAGTATTAATGAAAAGAGGGGATACGGCAAGGGATGTCATGGAGGCATTAGAGTTATTTTCTCTGTTCCTGTGTGAACATTACCCTTGCAGGTTGTGTCCGAAGATTCAAGTGTTGTCAAATCAGTGTGGAAGAAGGCAGAGGTAAACAGTGGTGGAACCTCCGAAGAACATGCTTCCGAATTGTGGAACATAACTGGTTTGAGACCTTCATTGTTTTCATGATTCTCCTCAGTAGTGGTGCACTGGTGAGTGGATATTGAGCAGAAGTGCTACAGTATTCACTTTTAGAATATTCTAATTCTGGGGGGCTCAGTGGTAGAGCGCTTGCCTTGCATGCATGAGGCCCTGGGTTTGATTCCCCAGCACCACATAAGCAGAAAAAGCTAGAAATGGTGCTGTGGCTCGAGTGGTAGAGGGCTAGCCTTGAGCTGAATAGCTGAGGGACAGCGCCCAGGCCCAGAGTTCAGGCCCCACAACCGACAGAAAAAAAAAAGAATATTCTAATTCTGATCACTTACTCGTGTTTTTTATTTCACTTTCCAAATAGATAGTGCATTTTAATGAACTCTCATCAATCTTCCAAATAATAGACCTAATTTATAGCTGTATGTTTCTGAATGTTACTGTTTGCTTTTACTACTTCTGATAATCTGTTTATATATTTTTTGCATATTGCTATAAGTAGCCCAGAAAATTTAGCCCTACAGATCACACATTTTAACCAACACATATGAATATTAAAGGACTCCATGCTTAATGAAAAGATAATAAGCATGGTAAACATAGTATAAATCATGGAGTCCTGTGATTGGGAATACATATCCTATGAGTTTTGCTGAATTTTATTTTTTAATGGTGTAATTACTATTTTTCTCTTTATGGACAGTCAATAAGTCCTTAGGGGCTATTTCTCTGTCCCTTCCAGTTGTTTTACTATGTACTGCTACTTAGGAAACAATGTTGCTAATAATAAATAATGGGCAGTATGCCTTAGTGATTCATTTAAAATTGATTTTGCTTTTAAAATATATTTTTACCAGATTCAATTTATGTTTCTAAAATCATTTACAAAAATATAGATGTGCAGAATCAATATCATTTTAGGAACACTGATATAAAGGTAATATTTAATTTTCTTTAACCCAAGTTTGTCATTACAACACAGAATTTCCTGCAGATAGTTTTCTCCACATACCGTTTTAGGAAAAAAATCATTCATAATGAAAGCAATGTTCACTTAGAAGTAAAATATCAAATATCATATTGCAAGAATGCATAATAGAATCTAAATGAGACACAATGTTATTTTCCATCATTGTCACAATGTATGTTTGCTAAAAACTAAAATGATAAGCAAAATGAAGAAATAAAAAGGAAGCATAAAACCTTAAGTAAAATTTGACACTGTCCTCATAAGTCACATTTGTCACTTAATGAGAACATAGTTTTTTTTATTTCTTCCATCTGTTTTCTATAGCAAAGCAAACTAAAAGAAAACAAAACAACCCTTAAAATGAACCTATGAAAAGAAGCCAAGGAAATAAGATGAATTATTATTTTTTTTTTTGGTGCTGGAGATCAATCAAACCCAGGGCCTCATGCTTGCTAGGCTAATAATCTCCTTTCCAGGAAACAAAAGCAATGGAATAGTTTATTGAGTCAAATTGAAATAGCCACATTAGAATAATGTCAATAGCTATTTTATGACTTGAAATTAAGTGATTATGAATTATAATTTTACTTTTTCTGGTTAAAATAGCAACAGAAATCATAATTTTATTATGAAAAGGCCTTGAAGAGTAATAAAGTATCAATAACTACGATTCCTCTGCTCTCTTATCCTAGTGAAATGTCATGTACACATGCGATTGACAACAGAACATATAACAGCATCTGAAAGTTAGTTATAACTTTTTCTTTGTAGGCATTTGAAGACATATACATAGACCAACGGAAGACAATTAAGACTATGTTGGAATATGCTGACAAGGTGTTCACTTACATCTTCATTCTGGAAATGCTTCTCAAATGGGTCGCGTATGGTTATCAAACATATTTCACCAATGCTTGGTGTTGGCTGGACTTCTTAATTGTTGATGTAAGTACCTTGCCTTATATTCAAGGTAATTTATCTTACTCATATTTTATTCCTAAAATAATGACTACCATGTTGTGATGACAAGATATGCTTTTTGAAAAATAAATCCACTCAACAAATGACAGTGTAGTGTTTTCTTGGTGCTGGTCCTGGGCTTAAACTCAAGCCAAGCCACTGTCCTCCAGCTTCTTTTGCTCAAGGTTAACACCCTACCACTTGAACCAAAGCCCTACTTCTGGGTTTTTGTTCATTTGTTTTGGTAGTTTAATGGAGAAAAGAGTCTCACAGACTTCCTACCTAGGCTCATTTCAAACCGGGCTCCTCAGATCTCAGCTTTTTTAGTAACTAGGATTGCAGGTGTGAGACACTGGTGCCCAAGAGTTATGATTTTGTTTTTCATGTTCTATTTTAATTATTTCATCATGATTATATAGCACTCTTGAAAAAGACTAATTAATAACTATAGTATTTCAAACAATGTTTAAAGTGTGTTAAATATAAGGACTTAATACACTAAAAATTGAACAACTTGAAAAATTAGTATCCAGTGTATGTTGACTATAGCAGCCATGTTGACACTAAAGAAATTGTAATCCTACATGAATGTGGAGTTTTGGTGATTTCTTTTTGTAAGAATTAGATACTACAACTGTAGTATGCATTAGTCTCACTATTTCTCACAAATGACCTACATCTATTGATATATTCAGAACTGACATTGAGAACATATTAATTACTAAGAATATTAGCTGTAATTAATTGTATATACCAACTTAGAGATATCTTGCTTTTCCCAGTATAACAACAATTTTTGTGTTTTCTAAATAGCCCCAAATTTAGTAGTAACAATAATAAAAGGATAATCAATGCCATTTTCTTCCACCTGGATTTCTTGGTGGAGGAGGAGGAAGAGGAGGAGGATGAGGAGGGGGAAGAAAAGGAGAAGGGGGAGGAGGAGCAGGACGAGGAGGAGGAGGAGGAGGAGGAAGAGGAGGAAGATGGTGATGGTTTGGTGGTGTTGGTAATCATATTGGTGTTAGGGACTGATCTGAAGTCTTCATATATTGCTAAGCACATGGTCTCCCCTGAGTTGCACCCCAGATCCTATTTTATTAATCATTTCATTGTTCTTCTGATTGTTTAACTCATCTAAATTTAATTGAACAGTTAATAAATTACATGATGTTTAAGGATTTTTGTTGAACTGGTTGTAATTCATGTCTTAAAAGTAACTTTCATTGGATCAACTTGAAAAATGTTTTCTTAAAATTTTAGGTTTACTGAAAATATCCAACCATCCATCTTCTGAACAATTATCAATAAAAAATTATATTTGTTGTATTACATGGTAACTGTAGATCGGGTGACAACCATTCTATTTATTTGGTATGATTTGTGTGTGCACAGGTTTCATTGGTCAGCTTAACTGCAAATGCATTGGGCTACTCAGAACTTGGTGCCATCAAATCGCTCAGGACACTAAGAGCTCTGAGACCACTGAGAGCCTTATCGCGGTTTGAAGGAATGAGGGTAAGAATAATGAATAACCTGATGTATTGTATGTAGCCAAAATTAAACTCAATTACATTTAGAAAAAGGGAAACACGTGCATGCAAAAGGAATGGCAAATTTTTGCAAAATTGCTACTTTACACTTTTATCTGTTGCATATTTACTTCCAGGTAATATGCAAGAGAACTTAGGCCTCTCTAAAAATGATATACTATCATTTATGTGCTGTGCTTATTAAGATGATTTCTTTATCTATCTTGGGAGTTTCCTTACAATCCTGCATACAAAATGCAGGTGCACTACTCAAATACTATGTGTAATGATATAATAATTATTGAAAGTGAATTTTGTGTCATGTACTTTCCCTTTGTAATGGCTCACCTGAGTTTTCTTGAGGATAATGTGAATTACAACTATGTAAGTGTAAAGGAAAAAATGCAATTGCCAAAAGTTTTGTCTTTATAATGCCAACATTTGCATTCTTTGAATGCTTTAAAGGGTAGATAGCAAATATGTACTGAATTTTAAAGAAGTTATGTTTGATATAGACTTAATTTACAACACTGCACTAATAATCTTCATACACATAGATGATTATAAATCAAGTATTACATAAAATCCGCATGTTTTATGCAATGAAGTCAAACATCATTCTGAAATAAACAGAATACATAATTTTTACTTATTATGATAGGTAATTAACAACTTAACTTAAATCTAGCCTATCAGAGTTACACAAATATGAATTTTTCCTTTTAAGTAACTATTAAACTATTCTTTATGATTATAACAGCTCAGAAATTTTTGCATTATGGAGATTTTTCATGAAACATTAATTAATTAATTAATGCTTTTTTGCCAGTCATGGGCCTGAACTCTGGGCCTCAGCGCTGTCCCTCAGCTCTTTAGCTCAAGGCTAGTGCTCTACCACTTGAGCCACGGTGCCACTTCCGGCTTTTTCTGCTTATGTGGTGCTGAGGAATCAAACCCAGGGCCTCTGGCATGCAAGGCAAACACTCTACCACTAGCCACCTTCCCAGCCCCAAACATTAATTAATGTAAGATGTATTATATAAAAGTCAATACTGTGTTTTTAATAGGCCACGATTTTCTTTATCTAAATAAATCAAGCAAGCATAAGCGATAAACTTTACTCTTCCACTACTGAAGTTTCAGTTATATTTATAGAAATTAAGCTATATTGTAGATGCCTATTTTCATTTCCTAGGTCAATTATGGCCTTATCCTCTCTTCTACTTAAGATTTATTATAAATATCACTCTTTTTCTTTGGTCTTTTTATGTACAGAGGGGTTACAGTTACATAAGTAAGGTAATGAGCACATTTCTTGTCAAACATTGTTACTCCTCCCTCATTTTCTCCCACTTTCTCTGTCCCCAACCCCCTTCCCTCCAACCCCAGGCAAATTGTAAAGTTCATTTCCAACATAGTGTCATAGATGGGTCTTCAATTTCTCCATGTGTCTGAAATCACATTTTTTCCTATCAGAAAATAATCAACAAAATATAAGACAAATAGTACTGTTTTACTTCTGGCAGAGATTTTTTTAGTAAAATGTTATCAGAAATTTGGAATATGTAAATAATTGTGTTTTCCAGTTAAGTAACACTTCCTTTGTTTCAGAGTAGTGGCTTCAATTCTTGAGAAAATTATCATTTTATACATTCCATGGGAAAATATATTCACTGAATTAAAACTTAGCATTTTAAAAGGCTCATGAAATATGAATAATGATAAACACTTGAAAGCATCAAAAATACTTCAAATTTTGATCTTTCAAAACTTTATTAAATCCACAAATTCATCATTTATTCACGAATGTAATGAATTTAGTCTTTGGATTAAATTTTATACTTTATAGAAATAAAGTTAGCTACAACTATTAATCAACAATGCTTTATGTTTTATAAAAAGAAGTTTTCTTGTGAAACTTTGAATATTAAAAACAAACTCCTTATAGATTCTGATAGTTGTTAAAACTAATCATTTAAACTTTCAGAGTATGAATGTACTGCTTTGCCTCCTTCTGATGTCTTACACTCAACACTAGGGGTGGCTGAGGTTTTCTGCATCTGTTTGGCATTGTAGAGTCAAAACGACCTTCTTATTCTATTTTTATATTTCTAGTATTTGTAAAAAATATAATCACAGATGATGAGGAGGTGAATGTAATGATAATGATTGTGCTTAAGAGGTGAGATTTGAATATATTCAGAAACTCTCATTTAGCTTTTCCCCAGCAGCATAAAATTGCAACAGCTGTGTCAAAATGTGTATCAGACACTTAACTGATTTTTGTTTTCCTGTCACTTTTTCAAAGCATGTGCTTTTATGTAACAGTACTGAATAAAGCATGTTGTGTAGTGCTTGATGAGAATTTAGAAAGTAATAAATAAGTTATCATCACGTTGCCCTTTGTGTTTTGCATGTTTTATGCACATTTCTGGCTGACAGCTTTTGAACATTTATTGTATTTCAAATTTCCAGTCCAAATTTTTCAACTTGTAAAACTGAAACTGAGTAAACTGATGTCATGAATACCTAGGGTAAAATAAAAATTTGTATTTAAATTTGTGTTTGTAATTTCCTAATCTTGGAAATTTAAATACCTTTTCAAAAAAAAAAAAGACCTCAAGTTTTAATTGATGAGGAGATAGACAGGGAGCATCATATTACAAAAATTAACACCAAATGTTCTGTCATATCAGATTTCTAACTAATAACAAACTATATATTTCTATTTTATATAGGATAATCTTGCTCCAACTTGGATGGGGTGGAGCGCTGGTTCCTCCCCTGAGCCCTTTATTATGGGTACTGTATTACCCCTTTTGCTACCTTTAATCCTTTCACTGTACCTTGTGTGTAGTGGGATGAGGGAGGGATTGGGGAGAGTATGATTTTTACCACAGTAAGGTCGATGCAGCATTTAATTCCAGAGCCACTATTTTCAATTGTCTTAAATTTCTTTTTGGAAATAAAAAGCATTGATGAGTTTAACTTCTGTGGGATTTTTAACCCCCAGGAGGTTGATAGCTTTATTAAATCTCACAGAATACGTTGCAGTTATGTATAAATTGTGTTATCCATTTATGGGGAGATTATTTGATTGATAAGGGTGGGGAACCCTGGTATAGGGTGATTGTGTAAAACCATTTTAACTTTCGGGATTTAAAAGATATTGATTTTATTTGAGGCATTCATTCCTTGCCAGTCCACTAGTCTGGGTCTTGAAAATGGCCAGCTGCATACCACCAGTCAGTTTTTCATATGGTTGAGCAGATGCTAAGGTATCAGATTCTAGGTTTCGTAAGACTGCTATTAATTGTGATCATTCCATTTCTATTTTACAAGTTCATAAAGGGTTATTGTCAAGATGAAACAAAAGAAAATATGTAATAAGAGTTGAACAAGAATACATGATTTGTGTTTAAAATGGAGAATTAAACCATTGGTTAGGGGAAAACCTACTTTTTTGAATAATGCAGATAGAATAGTGAATTTGAATTATACAGATAAAATAATAAAATCATGTCATGAGTATCAAGGCAATAAACTCAATGTTATAGTAAGTCACTCACAACTAACTTCTTAGAAATCTTACAAAACATTGCAGTAGAAACAAAAATAAAAAGAAATCTATATTTTCTTTACTCTTTAAATTTAAAAATATTGAGCAAGAGGGAAAGATTTTCTTTTGAGGGAGAAAAAAATTGAAAATTTTCTTCAGATAAATTGACATATCACTCAAAAATATGCACCTTGATTAATCCCTATAATACAAATTTAGTAGTTACATTTTTTAAAAATGACTACTGCTCTTCTCTATTCTCAAAAATATCTGATTTCTACTTTACCTACTTTTGATTTTTATTCACATAGCTCTCTTGTGTTATTATTACACACATTAGAAGACATGGTAATATAGATGTGATGGTTCATTCAGACAATATTTTTGAATATACTAACTAAACTTTAAAATATTAAGTTAAATGTTTGAATATCAACCTTTTATTTCATGTCAACTTAATTTTTTAAAAAATCAAAAAAGAGCCCTAGACAAAAACCATTTCCCTAAGAAGTGGTTTGCTCAAGTAGAGAAACTCAATTGGACAAGGTTTTGGAAAAGGTCTGTGTGAAGGAACAAGCTCTGGTGTTAATTCATTAAGACAGTTCCTTTCTTTGACATCTTCCTTTATGGGACCTGAAACCTCAATTTGTTCTTTCCAATTTATTCAGACCAACTCTGCCAAGTACATTTCCCACATGGGAACTAATTATTGTGGCTCCCCAGAGATGCAAAGAGTTAACTATCTCTCTCTGCTGAACTACCAGATGAGTTGAGGCTCTTGGGAAAAGACCATCCTTTCTATGATCTTTTGCCAAGTTTAATGACATCTTAGATATGAATAGACCTTTTGTGTAGTAAATTCTCCAGTATTTTGGCAACTTTTTTTTCAAAAATAAAGTTAGCTTAACAAAGTGAAATTTTGCACTCAGCCATCAACTTTGTAAGTTATATCCTGAATAATAAAGTTCTGTAGAGCACTTTATTATTAAGCCATAATTGAACTTAATTTTAACTAAGAACAACCCATTTCAAAGAAAATTTCTCATATATATTACTTTACTCAAACCTTTTACTTGTGCTCAGCTACTGAATTACTCCTATCCCATAATTAACAGTTGAAAATTATGCTTTGGCCAACAAATGTTAAGCTAAGTTTTACTTTATTTATGTGTTCGTTCAGTCAATCATTTTTCTACTCCTATTGTCAAAGCTCTCTGACACATTCCTATAATTAAAACACTCAAAGCCCATGAGTCACAAATATATTTTTGCATTTCACATTTTAACAAAAAGAACGTGATCTCTTTGGAACATAGGAATACAATGAACCCTAATACACAATGGTATGTTTACCTACTATGTGGGAGAGACCCTTAGGAGAAGGAATGAGGCAAATTGAAAAGAGAAGAGGTGCTACTTTTCTCTAGTCCACTTTCTAAGCTTAATTTTGATTTCAGATCCATCAAATACTAGAATTCTGACACTTCAAGTCAAAGGAAAAAGTTTTCACTTTTAGGAAGCTGAATTTGGAGGTGAAGAAAGAAAAAACTACATGAACTGCAGACTTTAGGAAAAGAGAGTATTGCAGAAAGGGAGTGAGTGACACTGGACAAGAGATTTCAAAGAAAGTAGCATGTCAATTCTCCAGCAATTATACTAGCCCATAGTAATTCTGTTAGCAAGAGTAACAGGAAGTGTGGGTAGCCAGGGAAATTCAATTTAGACATGTAGATTGTGATGTGAAAATCAAGGTGTGGAAAAGATTCTGTAACCACTTGGGACTTGTTAAATAAGTAAAATATGGGACTTGGAAAAGATTAATTCATCTCACACATCCATATGAAAGAAAGGGAGAGTTAGGACAGTTTGATAATAGTACAGTTATGAAGGAAGGAAGGTCAGAACTAAGAAGAGGACAAGGATAAGCTAGCATGGAATGCGACATATGTGAGAAAGATTTTTGAAGGAAGAAGTGTGAGACTCACAAATCAGCATGAAAAGAAATTCTAAATGAGGCGATAGAGGTGAATGTATACCCTTTAATATGTATTCTGCGCACACAGTACAAATAGCATTTTCATTTGGATGTTAGACAAAAACACTCAGCAAATGGAAATAAATAATAATTTGATGTCAGTTTTAAATTTTCATATCCAAGAAATCTGATTGTGTCCATACATTCAAGATATAGCAAGGGTTTAGAGAAATGGAGGAGAACAATGGAAGAGGTGATATTAAGATGCATTGTTCTCATTAATTGACATGTCGAATTTAAACCTCTGTAGAGCTTGCTAAAGACAATTTAACAAAATAAATGAAAGGTTTATTTAATGAGGTTTATGAATAGAGATGGTAAAATCAGAACAGAGAGGTATGTGACCTTGGTCACATTATAGGCCACATAGTCCCTACCATCTGGTTCTCTCTGGATGATTCAAGGTGAATACATATTTTCATCTTCATGCCCCCATCTTTATTATTACTGGTTTCATGCTTTCCTTTGGCCCACTAATCACACTGTCTTGTATGCTCTGAAAGCTGAAAGGTTTTTACAGACTTCAAACAGGGCTCCAAAGTATAAGGAATTAGCTCTCGTGTTTTTGTTTTTGCTTTTGCTTGTTTTTTTTTTTTTTGAAGCAAGAAATGAAAAACTTTCTTCTGAAAGTACACTGGCATCAACAGGCAAATAGAAGATATTTTGATGTCCCCTGTGGACTTTGAATCAGATTCTGGAGAATAATATAAACACACAGTTATTCTCAGCAATTAATATTCAAGGCGAGACCCCATATGCTACTTTTGAGCACGTTAGTGTCTTGATTTTCCCTCTTAAATTCTCATGAGCAGCTCCATTGAGACTGTAGAGGAGGAGGGAAGGAAGGCCTGTAGTGGTGTCAAATATGAAAATTCACATTTTTAATTTGTGAAGTTAAAAAAAACAATAGGGGGTTAAAACCCTTTCCATAGGAGAAAAAGTAGAAAGTAATCTATCACAGAACCTTACTTGCATAATTGCATCAGATGTGAAAATTAGGTAAGACATCCCTCTTTTATGTATTTTACCAGGAAACTGATCACTGTTATGTTTCATTTAAAATAAGTTTATCGGATTAAACTCAGTAAATGAAACAACTGAAATGACTGGAGCTTGAAATAAACGATGTGATGATCTACTGAAATACATAATGCTAAATTGTCTTGCTTCTTATGCAAAACTATTATTAGTCATAGCAATGCATGGATGACTAAGGCCAAACTATATTAGGTATCTTATAATCTCTTTCTATTTTTACATTTTAGTCATTAATTTTAAAGTTTATTGGTCAAATCAAATTGTGCCCAAATGTGTTCAGTTTGTTCTTTAAAATGAGTTCATCTGTCTAGGAGTTCCCACTTCTCTTTATTCTAATAATACATGTTCTTATTTCATCCGACAGAAATTTCCCCAAATTTTGCTTTTGTCCTTTATTCGTTTTCTCCCCTTTTATTTCCCATTTCTTTGTTATATTATTTGGCCTATATTTGTTTTTCTAAGTGAATTGCTTAAGAAAGAATGGATTTAATTTTTTACGATTCTTATTTTAATTTGCTTTAAGAATATCCTAGAATAAATAGTCTTAATGGAAAAATTTGAACTTAAGGCTTAATAAGGGAATGTCTCTTCTTTTTTAACCAATAAGAATTCTGACTTTTCTTTTCTTTCCATTTGTGTATTAGGTGGTTGTGAATGCCCTTTTAGGAGCAATTCCATCCATCATGAATGTGCTTCTGGTTTGTCTTATATTCTGGCTAATTTTCAGCATCATGGGCGTAAATTTGTTTGCTGGCAAATTCTACCACTGTATTAATACAACCACTGGTGACATGTTTGAAATCAGCGAAGTGAATAATCATTCTGATTGCCTAAAACTAATAGAAAGAAATGAAACTGCCCGGTGGAAAAATGTGAAAGTAAACTTTGATAATGTAGGATTTGGGTATCTCTCTTTGCTGCAAGTTGTAAGTGAACACTATTTTTTTCTGAATTTTTCTTATTGTTCAGAATAATAACAAAATAATGACTATATCTGTTATTTATTTGTTAAGAAGAAAGTATATTTTTTCTGGTTCTGACTCACTACAAGTTTCTGAACTCAAGTGGAGACTTTATTAACATGTACAGATAAAGCCAATAGTGGCTAGATATTTCAATTCTTTCCATAGGCCTTTTTCTCTTTTTTTTTTTACTCTTATTCTTTTTTTCCAGATTACTCTCACTTCCCATATGAATGAGTTGATTGATTGTTAAATCGTAACTATGCTATTTTTTCTATTGCAATGGATATATGGTAACTGATGTGGAGAAATTAGCCACTGCTTAGTTACATCCTTTTGGTGTAGAGGCTAAGTAACAGTATTTAGCTTTGACGGTTACTGCCATACTAAGATTTAAATGATGCCTGAGAATATCTGAACCCAGAAATGAAACACAAGCACAGTTGTCTCTGGTCAATAGCCTTGCAATGACATTATTGAACTTTTATCCCAACTATCATAGTAAGCCTCTAAGACTGATTCTTTGTAACTTGTGAAAGCACAAAGGATGTTATTCTTTTACATATTTTCATTTTATTCTATTTTCAGTTGAGGCTGCATCACGAGCAACCAAAAGATAAAACGAATCATAGTTAAAATGCTACACTCCCTTGTCTGCTGAAAATTCAGTTTTCAAAATAGAGCTGTATAAGCTGGTTGCTGGTGGCTCATGCCTGTAATCCTAGCTACTCAGGATGTTTAGCTCGGGAAGGTTGATGTTCCAGGGTCAATGGGGCACAAAATAGGGGACCCTGTTTCAGCAAAATGGTAGGCTGGAGGCACAGTTCAAGTGATAGAGTTCCAGATGAGAAGAATTTTATAATTCCTATTTTTGTGAGTGCTTCTACAGGGTGTTTTGAGACAGAAATCTATTTCTTATTCTTATTCTTTTTAATGGATCAACTAGAAGACTAAGCAAAAACATGCATACTTTTCAAAGCCCTCATATATTTCAGAGGTATCTTTACTATGGTTAACTTATAAACTTCTAACCTTTTGGTTAGAAGTTCTTATTTTTCTCCTGGACATTTCTAATCTGCTACTAATCATGTCATTAAAATAAAATCAAACAAGAATGATTTCTTTAAATATTATATTTCCTTTGACATTGATTCTAATATTTTACTAATAATTACACTTGCAAATGTCATCAAATCATATTTTTTTCTCTAGAACACTGAGGAAAGAACATTGAACTATTTTAAGCAATCCTTCAAAATGCTAAGTGACTCTTAAAAGTAGATTGTAAGTCCTGCACAAAGCTATTCAATAAATTCTGCTACTAAAAGAAAATAAAATATCATTATACTTCTGTGTAATCACCTTCCTGTTCATTAGTAATTCCATTGAAATGGTTCCTTTACCCACTGTTTTTCTGTCCCTTACCACATGTGTAATAGACTTATTCCATTTTGACCAGATACATTGACATGTCCAAAACCTCTCTCCATAATGCACAAAGTATTTCTATTTTCTATAGAAAAATCAGGAGTTTCTGTTCTCATTCACACTCAACAAATATTAGTATTTCAGGAACAAAGATACACTATGATGCAGATGCTAGAAGCTGTGTTAGGTTCCCTCACTGCCTACAAAATAAATTATGTCCACAGAGCCCAAAATTCATATCCTAACAGAATACTATAAGCTATTAGACTTGGAGTCATATGCAAAATGTTTTCTCTACTACTTTCCAGTTCTGATAGCTTATTCATACTCTTCAAGAATTATGATTTATGATTTTTGGCTGCTATAGATATCATCAGATATGTTTCAATTTATGTAGCTTTCCAAAAGTGCTCTACAGATTTTAATAGAAAGTCAAATGTCATGAATATCTTACTACCAAAGACCTGAAGTGTATGTGACTTGGAGAATCTATAAAATGGCCGTTTTGTTTATTTTATGTCTAGTCCACAATCCATGTATAACTTTTTTAAAATTACCTTTCAAAATGCTCATTTAAAATATGCCAATAAGAATACTTACCAAGCATAAGTTCTTAATATCTTCACTTCACAGTTAAACATGCATGTCCTTTTTAATAGGCCACATTTAAGGGATGGATGGATATAATGTATGCAGCAGTGGATTCCAGGAATGTAAGTATTCCTTATAACCCATGTTTTAAAATATTATTCTATAATCAGGTACTTGATTTAATCTCAAAATGTATAATAGACAAATGAAACCCTCAAGAAATAGCTAGGGGTACAAATATGACTCGTTAATATCTGAGTTATATAAATATTTACTGGACTTATTTCAAACAAAAGCATGAATTATTGTGAATGTCAAACAAAAGTAACAGAAATCCATATATTTAATAATTGTTTAAATACAATTTAAGATTGGAATATCAATTTAAGATTTATAAAATAGACTACTCAATCTTAAAAATCAAAATAAATGTTATAATAATAGAGGGGCAAACATCTATGTGAATAATTCAATTCTTTTTTTGTTAATTAATTCATTAAAACATAAACCATAATTTTACAATGTATTCTATATATAAATTTATATTACATTTGTAACTTTTTACTAATAATTTTTAAATTGCTGAGGTTTATTAACTGAAGCCAATCAAATTTAACACATCATTGTTGTGCAAATAGTATAACTTTGGGTAATATATTCTACTCTCATAGAAAAACACAAAAAGAAATTCTGCATTCAAATATATTGTAATATTTTACAAAAGATTCTCCTTTGATAGGTGGAACTCCAGCCTAAGTATGAGGAAAGTCTTTACATGTATCTTTACTTTGTTATTTTCATCATCTTTGGGTCTTTCTTCACCTTGAACCTGTTTATTGGGGTCATCATAGATAATTTCAACCAGCAAAAGAAGAAGATAAGTATCTCTAATATTTCATCTCTACTGAAATAAAAATATATATACCTGATATGTTTGTTTTTTTTCCCACCAAAAGAGTACCTGAGTTGAGAAATCAAATGGAGGTATTACAAAGTCTGTTTCCTCTTTTCTGGCATCTACTACGTATCTCTTTAAGGCAATAGAAAATTAGAAATAATTGCTCATAAAACTTCTCTCCTCCTTTTCCTTGGTCCATCTTTTGAAAGAGAATAATTAGAACTCATAAGAACAACAACAAAAAAGGCATGTGCCACTTTCTCATATGCTTTATCATTACAACTCTTCACTCTCTCACAAGATATTTTCAGAGAAAAGATTATTTACTAGAAGTCAGAAAGGTGGGTGAGAATGGAGAAATGGAGGAAGAGAGGATTTGATCAGAGAATATTGTAGGTATGTAGTAAAATTTAATACTGAAATGCACTAGTATGCCCAATTGATTTATGTTAATCAAAAGTATCTTCAGAATCATTTCATAAAATTAGACACCAAATCTAAGATTCTTCTAGTGTTTATTTTTCACACCTATATTGGTTCCTTTTATAATGTCCATCCCTTTAATTTGATTGTAATTATGTAAATTATAACTTAACTTCATTATAACTAACTGCATCCAGCTTTAACTGAAGCTCTTTTGTTCCATTTATTATTATCTTGAGTCTTCTTTTCTTGTTTCAATGATATCTGCACTTTATAGAAAGCATGGAAGGTAAATGATTGGTAGTAATGAATATTTATATGTTATAGTTTTATATTCAAATCATTTTGGCACATTCTTTCCCTTGACAGAAATGTTTTCTTATTCTGATAGGAGCATAAATTATCTTCACTTACCATACACATGCTATTATAAATTAACTATCTTTGAGTGGGCTTATAATTAAAATTACTTCTACTCTTTTTATGATTTAAATAATAACTTGCCAAAATGTGTCAAAAAATTAATCTTTAGCTATCCTCCGTTATAACTCCTCTAGTTTTCTTTCCATGCCTTTCTTTCAATCTTGAAAGAGTTAAAGAAACTTTATATGACTAACTCCAAATTGTCTTGGGATGTACTTCTATTTAATTCCTTGCTATGTTTGAAGAGAAAATCAAGCTTAACTCAAAAAGATAATGTAAATAGTGTATGGTTCTGACTATGTCTCTTTAAGCCAAATTTTATGACCCTTTGAATATTCTTAATTGAGCTCTTTATTTCTGGAAATTATTATCAATATAATCATCATCATCATCATCATGATTTTGAATAACTGTGAGTCCAATAAGAATACAAAAACTGCGGGGTGGGGGTGGTTCACGCTTAAAATCTCAGCTATTCAGGATGATGAGATCTGAAGACCATGGTTCAATGCCAGCTTGGACAGAAAAGACTGTGAGATTCTTTTTTCCAATTATCCACCAAAATCTGGAAGTGAAGTTATGCCTTAAATGGTAAGGTACTAGTCTTGAGTACAAAAGCTTGGGGATGGCTCCCAGGCCCTGAATTCAAGTCCAATGACCAGCACCAAAAAAAAATGTAGGGGGTAACTACAAAATACATTTTTAATTTAAATTGTATTGCAAAGGGGATAGACAGAGGGGTTACAAAGAACTTTTAATGTTGATGTTTCAGACTTTTGAAATTCCAGTAGTAATCATGCTAAGTGGCTAAAAATTGCATTTCCTTTTCACACTATTTCTTCTCTATTGTAACACTAAAAATATGGACAAATGAACACAGTTTTAATCAGTTTTGATTTTTCTTTTCTATACTTTGGAGGTCAAGATATCTTTATGACAGAAGAACAGAAGAAATATTATAATGCAATGAAAAAATTAGGATCGAAAAAGCCACAAAAGCCTATACCTCGACCAGGAGTAAGAAATATCAAATGATTTGGAAAAATATACTTAAAATATTGTATGTATTTTCTCCTAGAAGAGTAATCAGATATGATTTCCATCAGAAAATTTTATTCCACTTTTAGCCTATCATAATTCATGCTTCCATGATAATGATTGAAAACTTGAAACAAACACAATCACAGGGAAACACAAGGATAGACCTTTATCTACAAAAGCAAGATCTAGAACTACACAATCAAAATCCATACTATGTGGACAAAGGAAAACGGCAATATGACATACACAAGAAAGTTATCCACCTCCATAGTAATTATCTGTAATGACAGGGATATGGGTAAACCTTTAGTCGAAGCTTAAAAAAATGAAATTTTCTTCTAGAGTTGGAGATGCATGAACAATGATCAAGATGAATTGTACATACAAACTCATACACTGAATTGATACCCCTTTGTGCAACAATTTTAAAATAAGTAAAACTGTCTGCTTTTTAAATGTCCAAGTTCCCAGAATAAATAAGTAGTATTTGATCAACACACAAAAAAAGAAATGGATAAAAAAGGTCAAGTGAAATAATACCTTACTTCCAAGAATTGTTTCCATAAAAGTATGGAGTGTTTTTGAGGAAGAGAGATTTCCAGTATCTACTCCTCAAAAGTATAGCTATAACATAGAATTTACTATTGCTTGTAGAAGTTGGGGTCAATAATTATAATTTGTGACTATAAATAACAATAATCATATTTCCATGATAAGCTTAACAAACTGAACATGGAAGGAACTTAACATACTCTAATAATTTTATGAGCTTTAAACTATTCAGAGAACAGAGTACCATGAACAGAGTATTGTTTCATGTTAGTCAAATATTGCCTTCTTGAGAATAAAATGAAATATATGTATATATAAATGTAAATAGAAATTAGTCAATTCTATAAAGAAAAAACGTAAGAGGGTTAACATATTTGAATTCTTCAGGGCCTTGGAAATAAATAGATGATGGTCAAAAGTGTCTGGCAGTGACAGACTGAGCATCCAGTATTAGAGATACATGAAAAGCACAGAAGTTTTATTACATCGAACAAGAGATCTATCCCAGCCTGAAAATCCTTGTAGAAGTTCAGAACTTTGTGTCTGAAAATGTAGCATATGGTATTTAATGAGAGAATATAAAAATACAAGGTTTAATATGTCCTGAAAATTCCATGAATAGAATATCAATGGTAAATCAAAATATTAAAATAGCTTCATGGTCATGGGCTTCATGGGAAAAGTAAGCTCTCTTACCTTTTCAAAACTTTGATGTTAATGTGCATTGTGTACCTCCAGCAGAAGTAAGCAGAATGTAGCATTTCTCTCTCTGTTTAAAAATAGAGAGAGAGAGAGATGGCTGTTACAAGGAATACACATTAGTAAACTGCAATTTAGATAACAAAATTTTCAATATCATCATACTAGACTTGATCTCTTAGAAAAGTCAGGAACAATGGCGACTGTGCACAAGTCAATTGATGAAAAAAATACTTAGGTATACACTTCTATGTGAAATAAAACTTCTACATTGCTAAAAGCATTTCCATTTCTCTACAGAACAAATTTCAAGGAATGGTTTTTGACTTTGTAACCAGACAAGTGTTTGACATAAGCATCATGATCCTCATCTGTCTAAACATGGTCACAATGATGGTGGAGACAGATGACCAGAGTGAATATGTGACCAGCATTCTGTCACGCATCAATCTGGTGTTCATTGTGCTGTTCACTGGAGAGTGTGTGCTGAAGCTTATCTCCCTCCGGCATTATTATTTCACCATTGGGTGGAATATTTTTGATTTTGTGGTTGTCATTCTCTCCATTGTAGGTAAGAATATGTAAAATCTCTTAACCTCAGCTCAATAAAAATAAAGTTGAAACAATGACTTTTACAATGGAGGTTATCCCAGCATTCAGAAATAAGCACTGTGAATGTTTTGGTGCATTTCTTCCCAGTGTGTTTATTTGTCCTGTAAATTTAATTTCCAAAAATATATCATCATAATATCCTACTCTATACATTTTAGGTGCATACTATACTATTTTTCAGTATAGTAAAAACTCCTTTAATTAAACTAAATATGTGCTATTAACTAAAACATTTTCAGATTTTGAAATTGAAAACCTTACACAATATCAAGATTGTTCTGTTGAGAAGAGGACTAGAAATTTAGCTGGGTAATCAGAAAATAATACCATATTAGAGATGCAGCTAGGAAGTCAAGAGCATGTTGAGAGTGAGTGCTTGTTGCTAGTAACAGCCAGGGGGAGGGAGAGAGAGAGACAGATAGACAGAGAGACAGAGACAGAGACAGAGACAGAGAGACAGAGACAGAGAGATAGACAGAGAGATGCAGAGAGAGACAGAGAGAGAGAGAGAGAAAGAGAGAAAGAGAGAGGAAAAGATAGCAAGAACCAATGGTAAGGAATTTACCCTATAGAAATTTTTTTTTCATTTTATTTTTTTTTGTGAACATACTGTACAGAGGGGTTACAATTACATGGGCAGGATAATGCATACATTTCTTATCAAGCATTGAAGCCTCCTCCTTTGTTTACCCTTCACATCCCTTCCCAGCCTCCCCCTCCCACCCCTCCACTCAATCCTCCCCCCCCCCCCCACCAATGTTGTAAAGCTCGTTTTTGACATGACAACTTGTACTTCTCATTGTTGCAACAGGTCCACCTGTATCCTTAAACGATTTGTTTTTCCGTATCTCCTCCACAAGTTATACCGACATCAAATATAGTGAAAGCAGTACCCTATAGAAATTTTATAGATTACTTTCAAAATCAGTTTGTGCTAATCCTAGCGTGTGGTAGCATTTCTTTAGTCAGGTGTTGTAAAGACTAGAATATGTACTAGTCTTTGTGAGCAATAGCCCATTGCACTAAAGAAATGTATAACCCTCGTGAAGTGAAGACAGCTGGGCATGGAAAATATTCATTCCTTCTTATATAAGATAATTTAGTCAATATTGTACTATCCAGTATAGGGGAAGTCTTGTACAGATTTTCATGTCATTCTCCACTCTTAATAAACTAGATTTAAATCCAACTCATATGTTATATATAGTTCTTTTATTCCTTCACTTATCCATGGTTATAACCATGGTCAAAGTCTCCTCTTGCTCTCTCACTCCTAGATTGTATGTATGCTAAATAGTTTATCAACTATATCTGAAAGAGAAACCTATTCAGTTGAGATTCTTTATATTCGGGGCTGGAAAGGTGGCTCGGTGGTAGAACGCTTGCCTTGCATGCATGAGGCCCTGGGTTCGATTCCTCAGCACCACATAAGCAAAAAGAAAAAAGCCGGAAGTGGCGCTGTGGCTCAAGTGGTAGAGTGCTAGCCTTGAGATGAAGAGCTGAGGGACAGCGCCCAGGCCCAGAGTTCAGGCTCCACCACCAGACCCCCCCCCAAAAAAAAGATTCTTTATATTCTCAGTCATGGGGCTTGAACTCAGGGCCTGGACTCTCTCCCTGAGCTCTTCAGTTCAAGGCTAGCACTCTATCACTTTGAGCCACAGTGCTGGTGGTTAATTGGAGATTAGAATCTCATGAACTTTCCTGCCCAGGTTGGCTTTGAACCACAATCCTCAGATCTCAGCCTCCTGAGTAGCTAGGATTACAGGCATGAACCACCAGCACCCAGCTCAGTTATAATATTTTTATGTATTGCTGAATGTCAAAATTAAGATCTATTTTAATATATATTCTATACAATTCTACATGCATTCAGTCCTCTGTATCTGTGTTTTTCATCCATGTATTCTGCATGCATAAATTTAACTAATCACAGAATAATATTTGGAAAATATCTTGTATCTCTACTGAAGATTTACATTCTTTTTCTTGCCTTTATTACCTATACAGTAAGCATGTCACAACTATTCGCACAATTTGTACATTGATGTAATTGTAAGTAGCTTAGATATGATTCAAAGTACATATGAGAATGCAGGTTATATCTGAATACTATGCCAAATTATATAAGGAGCACAGCATCTGTAGATTTTCACATCGTAGTACCAGTATCTTGTAGATAGCGCGACATGATTGCATTATGTAAATGCCATATTTACAATTGAATCTAGGTACTCCGAATTTTGTATTAAAGAATTTTTGATGAATAACTGCTTCACTGGTTGGTATTCTCATTGTTTATCCATAGGTATGTTTCTAGCTGAGTTGATAGAAAAATACTTCGTGTCCCCCACCCTGTTCCGAGTGATCCGCCTTGCCCGGATTGGCCGAATCCTTCGTCTCATCAAAGGGGCCAAGGGGATCCGCACGCTGCTCTTCGCTCTGATGATGTCCCTTCCTGCCTTGTTCAACATCGGCCTCCTGCTCTTCCTTGTCATGTTCATCTACGCCATCTTCGGGATGTCCAACTTCGCCTACGTGAAAAGGGAAGTTGGAATCGATGACATGTTCAACTTTGAGACGTTTGGCAACAGCATGATTTGCCTGTTCCAAATTACCACGTCTGCGGGCTGGGATGGGTTGCTAGCCCCGATTCTTAACAGTGGACCCCCAGACTGTGACCCTGGTAAAATTAACCCAGGAAGCTCAGTGAAGGGAGACTGCGGGAACCCATCCGTTGGGATTTTCTTTTTTGTCAGCTACATCATCATCTCCTTCCTGGTGGTGGTGAACATGTACATCGCTGTCATCCTGGAGAACTTCAGCGTGGCCACAGAAGAAAGCGCAGAGCCCCTGAGCGAGGATGACTTTGAGATGTTCTATGAAGTTTGGGAGAAGTTTGATCCCGATGCAACTCAGTTCATGGAATTTGAAAAACTATCCCAGTTTGCAGCCGCTCTTGAACCACCTCTCAATCTGCCACAACCAAATAAACTCCAACTCATTGCTATGGATTTGCCCATGGTGAGTGGAGACCGGATCCACTGTCTGGATATCTTATTTGCATTTACAAAGCGCGTTCTGGGGGAGAGTGGAGAGATGGACGCCCTTCGAATACAGATGGAAGAGAGGTTCATGGCTTCCAATCCTTCCAAGGTCTCCTATCAGCCAATCACTACTACTTTAAAACGAAAACAAGAGGAAGTGTCTGCTGTCATTATTCAGCGCGCTTACAGGCGTCACCTCTTGAAACGAACTGTAAAACAAGCTTCCTTTACCTATAACAAGAACAAACTCAAAGGAGGAGCAAATCTTCTTGTTAAAGAAGACCTGATAATTGACAGAATAAATGAAAACTCTATGACAGAAAAAACTGATCTGACCATGTCCACTGCGGCCTGTCCACCCTCCTATGATCGGGTGACAAAGCCAATTGTAGAAAAACATGAGCAAGAAGGGAAAGATGAGAAAGCCAAAGGGAAATAAACAACACTAACTAGAAAAAAAAATTAGATGACAAATTGTTTACAGCCTGTGAAGGTGATGTATTTTTGTCAACAGGACTCCTCTTGGAGGTCAATGCCAAACTGACTGTTTTTACACAAATCTACTTTAAGGTCAGTGCCTACAATAAGACAGTGACTCCTTGTCGGCAAACTGTGTATGACTCTGTATAAAAGGGAGATGGCCTGGACAGGAGGTTACTGTTCACACTACCAGCTGATACTGCTGAAGACAAGAACCAACTGGCTACTCAGACTGTAGGAACCAGTTTAAAAGGAAGCAAACCTATCATCGAGGGTTGTTCAATATGAAACACTTTAGTGTCATAATTGTATCCACTGTTTGCATTTCAACTGCCACATTTGTCACATTTTTACAAACTCTGTTAGGGGATTCATCTTTTTTTTTAATCCATATGTTGTTTGTTACATGTAACTATTTTTGTAAACAGGGTTTCTGTTGGGAACTAGGGTAAAGGTCCCCCTTTACGAGTGTGAAACCTGGAGGTGAGGGAACTCACATGGCTCTCCCATCTACCCAAAGATGTGGTTTGCATGAAAGCATGCTACACTTGGAGAACATGCATGAACAAAAGTCCCAAGAAAGCGAGGACAGTCTTAAACAGTCTATGCTTCTGGGAGAGGGTCATGAGTGATGGTTGGAGGTGTTTCACTGGCCTTGTTATGTCAAATTAAACCCCTAGGCCAAGTAGATCGTTTTGGAGATGGCCATTGTCTTAGGTGCAAACTGCATTCAAATGTCTAGAGTCATAAATGTTATATTTCTGTTTATTGTCTGAAAAAAATATTTAAATAATGACTCTTACTCCCTCTGTCCCCTCCCCACCTCTAGAAGACAAAATTGACCAAAAGAACCCTTTATAAAAAAATTTCTGCTTAATCCTGCACTTTGTTTAGCCATCTTCAGCTCTCAGCAAGGTTGACACTGTATATGTTAATGAAATGCTATTTATGATGTAAATAGTCATTTTACCCTGTGGTGCATGTTTGAGCAAACAAATAATGACTTAAGCACAGTATTTATTGCATCAAATATGTACCACAAGAACTGTAGAGTGCAAGCTTTATACAGGTAATGTACTGTGTTATGTACCATTGTAGATAGTCTGGATGCTGTCAATGCATGTTGATACTACCCTGCTGCTATATCTGGTTTCTCCACTGCTCACAGTCTCACTCACAAGAAACCATATTTCAGTGGTAAAATCAAGGAAATTGTTCCACAGATCTCATTTCTTTGAAATCATCAAGCAATAGTTCATAGCACTTTAACAAATTTTTGGTTATTTTGAAATTTGAAGTGGATAGCATATGGTATATAGCCAGACTGTACAGACATGTTTAAAATAATACACACACACTCATGCACACTTGCACGCACACACATTGCTTATCATGTTTTAAAATGTGTTTAGAATTTTATAAGCAAATATAAATACTGTAAAAAGTCATTTTATTTTATTTTTCAGCATTATGTACATAGACATGAAGAGGAAATTATCTTCAGGTTGGATATCACAATCACTTTTCTTACTTTCTGTCCATAATACTTTTTTCATGGAAGATATTTGCTAAATAAGAAATGTAAAACAAGACTGGGTAGTTGTAGATTTCTGCTTTTGTATTATATTTGCTAATTTTAGATTGTTCTATTACTTTAAGGGGCAAAATAGGTTCATAACTCACATCCAAATTTATGCTTTGCAATTGGAAAAGGGTATAAAATTTTATTTGAATGCCTGTGCTAGCTTATGACAATAGGGCTTAATTTTCACTTTTGACTTTTTTCCCCCAACTTGTGCTTTTCTCATTTCTTTGGAGTTATGCTTCTCTAGATTGTTCTAAATATAAATGCAAGCTTCACATGTTTTTCCCCCCACAAAAATAGAGAATAGCAAACTTATATAGTAAATTATATCAGAATATTTTATGTTTCTTACAAAAGCAAGCCATAGGCTCCTCTTTTTCTTAAAATTATTGAAATAAATTGTATTCATGAACTGCATGCTGGAAAATGCTATTACCCTAAATAATGATAACCAACATTAAAAATGTGCAAAACTAATAAAGATTACATTTTTATTTTATTGTTTGCCCATTTACTTTTTGTGAGCAATATTTTATAACAAGATGAAGATATTTTCCTTTTATATATTGGGGAAGAAGGGGTCCAACACACACACACACACACACACACACACACACACATACACACACCTTATCTCTTTCATCTCTCTATGGAACTGACAAGAAACTTTGATGTAGAAATGCAACTGCTCCTCTTGGACTCTCAGAAACAAGCTATGGTTTCTAGAAGGCTAGAAACCATACAATAGGGACGGCCACTTGAGTTACAAAAAAAGGCTTTAAATCTTTATTTAAAAAATTCAGTTACTAAACATGATTGGACTACTTTGCTCCTCCAGAACTTTTCTCCATACTTCTGCAGCCTGCCATGTGTTGGAAGGGGATGATTTTATGCCTCACAGCAATGGTCTCCCCTACTTTTGACCTTCATATCTCACTTGGGCCAGTGGAAAGCCCCCAATGGATACCAGCTAGAGAACACAAAACAGTTCCTGTTTTGCTGGGTTGTGCTGGCAGACAGTGGCTGCTTTCTTCCTTTTGCTTCTATAAGCCTTTAACTGGCCTGGAAGTGATTCCGAACTCTTTATAGCTTTTCCACATCCTCACTAATCTCCTCTTGATGGGAATCTTCTTTATGCCTTACTTGAGTATACCACCAGCTCTCCCCCGCATAGCAGATACCAAATGACAAAATAGCACATGAAACACATTAAGAGGCAAAAATTGCCCGTGGGCCAACTAGTAATCTTAATCCAATTGTCTTTTGTAGATAAACAGTAGATTTGTAAACTCACAGAGCTATGGAAAGCTGACTAGAGTCCAGATGATGAAATTCATAACTGAAATAAAGTACATTTTGAAGGAACGAGAAACCTTCACTTCTTTTCAGCTTTCCTCAGTGAGGAAGCCAGAAGGGGAAACAGAGACTTAGCAAGAAAAAAAAAACCATCAAAATGTAAGCTTTTCCCATCTGCTTACAACTTACCTATGCGTTGGTGACCTCACCCTAAAACATGATGATTCCTTCTGAATTATTACTGGCTGAAAAATAAAGTTTTCATTTTAAACAACCACACTGGTACTTAACAGAGAACTTTTCTAATATAATCATACAAATACCCACATTTTTGCATGATTTTTTTCATATTCTTTACTACAACAAACAATGCTCAAATAATGATGAGGTAATGTCAACTGGATGCAGAAAAGTCAACTAGAAGAGGAATCCCAGCAACAATATCTGGAGCAATTTCAGCATCCAAATAAATAATGATAATAGTAGATTGCAATTAATTAAACAAAATAAAAATCTACAAGAATATGCATACACCTTTCATTAATAAATAGGAAAAAAACTTTCCTTACTGTAAATGTTAACAGACAAATGTAAAAGTAATAACAAAGTTAGAAAAATCACCATTTGGCAGCCATTATAATAAAATTGATTTTTTTCATGAATCATCAAAGCCTGCCAAAACTCTGGGGGATAAGCTAGAAGAGGAAAAGGAAACCTAACAGTGGCCTCAAAATATCAAAGTATCTCAACTTTTAATTTTAAAATTTGAGAAAAAAGTAAATTTACAGTGAAGAAACTTAGCTGGTATAAACTTGAACGATATTAGCTATGGGCCCAAATGTTGACTCTATGTGCCTCTGCTAAAATGTATTGCAAAGACCATATCACTTCTTATTATCCACTTAGAATGGCATAACCAGTACCACTGGTTAATACTACTGAAAATGAATGGTAGCCTATAAAGTAACTAGACTGAGCTCCTTAAAGGCCAGGGTTGTGGTAAACAAAGAAAGACCAATGTGAGCTATTTGAGTTTGAAGAGCTATGACCACTAAACACAATGTATGTATCTGGGTGGAACGCTAGACAAGGAAAGTAGTAGTAGGAAAGAATTTCACTGGAAAAGCTAACTCAATTTGAATATGGACAAGTGATTAGTCATTAGTATTTTAACAATGTGAATGTTGTTTTTAAAGGCTACTGTCCTTATTCTTGAGAAATTCATGCTCAAGTATTCAGAGGTCAAAGCAATAATGAACCAACAGGTTCAAAGCAAAATGCATTACAGAGCTCATGTATGAATATAAAGATATTTGTAGAAACAAAGACACATATAGAAATATAGATAACACTTATTTGAGGGAGGCGAGAATTATTTGTTGCCATTGTACTGTGGAAATACCTATATATGTGAGTTTATATTACCATCTCTTCTTATGTACTGGATTTCTACTTTCAAATTTAGATCTACTATCTCTAATTATTTCATCACATAGTAGATGCTAGCTATTCTAATATCCTGGAAGTCCTATTTATGGAGTCATGTGATTTATTATATTGATTTCACAATAATTCCTATCTGCTAAAATAAGGACATTTTAGGAGATATTTGTAAGATAATGTTTAAGGACACAGGATTTGAAGGTAAGTCGATGTAGCTTAGAAATCTGTATCTACATTCTGGTGACTCCAGATTATAATAGTAGATTGATTCTTGGCTGTCTAAGCAGAGATCCAGGCGTTATGGGTAAAAACTAATCATTTGAAACACAGATCACTAGGTATGACAATGTTTTCATATGCCTGCAAATCTTTTCATATGATTTTGAGAAAAAGTGGATTATTTATCTGAGAATATTATTGAGAACATTATTCAATTCAATGTATTGAATAATATATTAACATATGAGAATATTATTTGAGAATAAATGAGTTATTTATTCTTTTATTTGACCCAATGAAAAATTGTTGGTTCACATTTATATTTCATTGATGTATAAAATCTAAATGCCTGGGAAATGTTGGCTTTTACATACAAACAACTAAGTTTGTATGGTTGCATATATGTATGTATATATGTATATATGTAATAATATGTATATATATATATATATATACATATATGTATATATATATATATATTCCACAAGGCTCAGACATTAGAATTATATATACCTTGTCCTTAAAGACAGGAAGTGTGATCTGCAGTTGTACATTCTATCATGTGTCCACTGAAATCTTATGTTCTTATTTAGGTAAATAACTGTATTTCTGAACCACTGTGAATTTAGTAAAATGGTCATAATTTAAAAATTGCTTAAGTAAGACCAGCTGTTGGCCTATTCTTCCTGCTACATAGGAGTATTCTATTCATCTATTTTTCACTAATATTTTAATGGCTTTCAGTATGATATTTTTGCACATGAATGTATTTTGATCACATTTACCTCCACATTACCTTCTCCTATGTCCCTTTCTCTTCACAATTAATCTCTCTTCAACTTTAATGTCTTATTTAAAATCTAGACTTTGTATAAGAAAACATGATACTTGTTTCCTCCGCCTGGCTTATTTCACATAACCTGATGATCACCA